TAATTTTAATAAATAGGGAGAAGAACCCACTCACAATCAGATAGTGTCGCTCCTAACGCTCGGCGGCGCTGGCCCTAGCGGCTGCGGCGCGCGCGGTAAGGAGAGGAAAAGAGGCGTATACCACGGAAATCGGCTGAAATGTTCAGACTAATTCCGAGCACTGATCTATAACGTTATATTATCATTTCTGTATTACACTTGCGCATGCAAACGAAATAAAACTGTATGAAATTATAATATTTTCTTATAAAATATAACGTGTATATTTGTGGTTAGTAAAATCGTGTGAAGCCACGGACCGTCTAACTTGCAAAATTAGAAAAACAAAATAGTTAAAACAAATAAAAGACATGAAAAATTAATTTTGAATATTTATACCTTGAACGGTTCGTCAACTATGTAAAAGAAAGAATGTGACATGTGTCCACGACTGTGAGTGGGACTCGACTGGTAAAGGTGTAGGATGGAAAGGAAAGAGGGGATAGGTTATAGACGAAAACTACAGGGTGGGGAATTTTTTGAGTATTGGAAGATATGTATATCTTCGTCTGTATAAATTTATAATAAAAAAAGAATTTTTGAGCAAATCGATCCAGCTTTTGCTCTATTGGCTTTATATATTAAAACGATTTTTAATTTAATTAAGGAAGAGCAATAACTTAATTTTATTTGTATTTTTAACAATAAAAATTAAAATAATAGTAATTAAATAATCTCAATTTTTGTGTATTTTGTTCCAAAAATTCGAATTTTATACTTTAATTTATAATCTTCTATCTTCAATGCATTGTCAAACTTACAAAACGTTTTGGACCAAATATCGGATAAAACATTTGGAAGAAAAATTACAAAAATGCTGATTTCCATCTATGCTATTCCATCTTTTCCGCAATCGCGCGCGTGCATGCAATATTTATTAATTTACGGTATTATGATACATATAATAGGATGGAGACAAAGTGCAATTGCCTGAAGTTTTGCCACAAGTTGCACTTGAGATTTACAATCGACATAAAAAAATAATATTTGCAAACAAGCTTAATATTATGAACTTTTTGCATAATTACGAATCCTTCTAAACATACCGATTACTACTTTCTAATTAAAAATTCATAAAAATAAAAAGTACTGGTGTTTACTTAATTACATTGGCATTTTTAAATAGCGCACTAAAGAAAATTTTTATTGTGATTATTTTCGGAAAATCTCCCTTTACAAAAAATTGTACGATTTTTTTATACGAATATTATAAACTATTTATGCATTAATCTCTGTATTATGAAATAAGAAACTACGATTTCGATTATAACAGAACATTAATTCTGATATATTAATTCTGATATAAAAAAGCATCGATATCGAAAAGAGCACCAAATCAAATAAATCATTGTTGCACTTGATGCATCTCGTGCAAAATTTCATTGCGTATAATTATTTTAACAAATATTATTTTGTGGAGTATTCCAGAAACAGTCTTTAAGTGTCGTCAAAGAGCCGTCGCGAATCTCGATAACCGCTGTTGGTCATCATGAAATACGGCCTTTAAACAATCGTATCGCTGTCCATTATACACTCACCCGAAAAAAAAGCGGTACACTAAAAATGTGGGAAAAATTCATCAAATTTCAACTGACGATAACTTCGTAAATAATAAAGATAGAAAGTTCTATAAAATATGGAAATGAAGCTAAAAAATCTCTACTTTAAGAATCAATTTATTTCAATGTTGCAAAATAAATTTATTGAAAATGGCGGATGACAAAGTGCGAGCATGCAAAATTGAAAAATAATGGTTCGAGTTTGCGACGGTGCACGGTATAAACAAAAAATTGTAGCTTATTGGGATTAAAAGCGTACGAAAGTACAGAGTCTCCTCTTTAAAATGCTTTTTTATGCAACTCGATACGATGATTTTTCGCCGAGAGATTCGCATTTGAAGAAAAAGGCAGATTCTTACTTCTAGGCCTCTCACTTACAGTACAGTCTGCAAATCGTTCTCCAACGCGACGGTATACTCGTTCTCGTCCGTCTGAAGAATACAGACAAAAACGAGATTCGTCGCTAAAAAGAACGGTACTCCATTCTGCATATGTCCAGCCTGCATGCTCGACAGCAAAATTGAGTCGAGTTACGCGATGGCGACGCATAAGCGAAGGTACATTTGCTGGCCTGCGCGGAAAAAGACCGTGTTCCGCTAATCTGTTTCGAATAGTGTCAACGGATACATTACATTCGCGGACATCTCTTAAATTGTTTCGAATTTGAACAGCCGTTCGATGTCTGTCTCTTAATGATTTAAACATAAATCGGTCATCGTTTTTCATTCGTACAACGAGGACGTCCCGAACCAGGTCTCTTTGGACAGAATTAGTCTCCAAGTACCTAGCATAAGCACGTTGCACGGTTGACACTGATAAATCAAGTGCCTCAGCAACGTACCTTCGACTTCTCCCATCTTCAATTAACGCTACAAACTTGAGCAGCTTTTTCAGGACTTATCGTCGCCATAATTGACCAATAATTTCAATGCGAAAAGATTAATTATTGTTTACTTTGACGAAGTCGTACGAATAAGTAACGCGTCTCGAAAGAAAAGATCAAGAGAAATCAAGCACTCTTCTCGCAATGTGCGGTCGAGCATAAACAAAAAGTCAGGGCGGAGAAATCACAAAAGATCTGCAGACATCTCCTTCGGATGCAAAACAATTGATTGAAAAATAACGGTTCGAGTTTGCGACGGTGCACGGTATAAACAAAAAATTGTAGCTTATTGGGATCAAAAGCGTACGAAAGTACAGAGTCTCCTCTTTAAAATGTCTTTTTTATGCATCTCGATACGATGATTTTTCGCCGAGAGATTCGCATTTGAAGAAAAAGGCAGATTCTTACTTCTAGGCCTCTCACTTA